GCAAGACCTGGTGATTTATAATATTCTTTAGGGAACTTTACACTGCAAAAAATGATCAATAAAGAGGTGATAATTGCCTTTATTGAGTGGTTTTAATTTTAATTTTTTTCATCATTTTTTGCAGTGTAGCGGCCTCACAGTTGATCAGTTATTATAAAAACATTATTTCACAGGACTGGTATTTCCAATGAGCCCATCACACCCGCTTCTATCCTTGTGATCCACATTAGTGCGTGTTCTGACTGACAGCTAATATCAAAGTGGAGGAGGATGGGTCTGGGCTGCGCGGACTCGGGCCGTGGACCTGGTTCTGTTTCCTCTGGGCCGGGGATTCCCACATCTGTGTCCTGTTATAGACCCAGCTCCATCAATACAGATAACACTTTGGATCAACACGACACACAAACAGATGCGTCACGTGATCGCTGGGCCGGGTCCGGGTCAGGTCCAGTGGTCGATAGGACTCACACAGACGACCGGTTGTAGATGGATTTCTAATGTTATGTAAGCGCTGGGGTAACTTTAAAACCACAACATGTGTAATCATAGCCCTGTTTCCACCAGACCTGCTTAGCCCTGTTTCCACCAGACCTGCTTAGCCCTGTTTCCACCAGACCTGCTTAGCCCTGTTTCCACCAGACCTGCTTAGCCCTGTTTCCACCAGACCTGCTTAGCCGTGTTTCCACCAGACCTGCTTAGCCCTGTTTCCACCAGACCTGCTTAGCCCTGTTTCCACCAGACCTGCTTAGCCCTGTTTCCACCAGACCTGCTTAGCCCTGTTTCCACCAGACCTGCTTAGCCCTGTTTCCACCAGACCTGCTTAGCCGTGTTTCCACCAGACCTGCTTAGCCCTGTTTCCACCAGACCTGCTTAGCCCTGTTTCCACCAGACCTGCTTAGCCCTGTTTCCACCAGACCTGCTTAGCCCTGTTTCCACCAGACCTGCTTAGCCCTGTTTCCACCAGACCTGCTTAGCCCTGTTTCCACCAGACCTGCTTAGCCCTGTTTCCACCAGACCTGCTGAGCCCTGTTTCCACCAGACCTGCTTAGCCCTGTTTCCACCAGACCTGCTTAGCCCTGTTTCCACCAGACCTGCTTAGCCCTGTTTCCACCAGACCTGCTTAGCCCTGTTTCCACCAGACCTGCTTAGCCCTGTTTCCACCAGACCTGCTTAGCCCTGTTTCCACCAGACCTGCTGAGCCCTGTTTCCACCAGACCTGCTTAGCCCTGTTTCCACCAGACCTGCTTAACCCTACTCGATTCAAACGTGAAGCTTTCTGGATATACACACTAGATACATTGGCCCTCATTTATGGAGCTTGCGTACGACCAAATCAGTGAATGAGGCGTACGCAAAATGTTTACACTTTTCTGCATTTATCAATCTGGACGTGAGCGTACGAAACGCTAAAAATATACCCTCTTCTGTTTCTTTGATTTTAAATCTGACTTGTGTGTATTATTTTCATCTGTCTTTTAAATGTGAAGCGCTTTGTGATCCTGGTCTGTGAAAGGCGCTTTACAAATACACTTGAGTGACTAACTCCGTAAATCTGGAGTCCCTGCGCTTCGTGATTACGCATTTGTTTTGGCAAAGCAATGTGTTTTTTACTTAGTTTTGTGCATAAAGCCTCAAAACTTTCTCCAAACCTGCCCTGTTCTCCGCATGTAGCAGTTTATAGATATATGCAACACACGTCTGTAGAAACGGGCTCAGGACAGTGACTCTGGGCAGTGGCTCAGGGCAGTGGCTCTGGGAAGTGGCTCTGGGAAGTGGCTAAGGGCAGTGGCTCTGGACAGTGGCTCTGGGCAGTGTCTCTGGGCAGTGGCTCAGGGCAGTGGCTCTGGACAGTGGCTCTGGACAGTGGCTCTGGACAGTGACTCTGGGCAGTGGCTCAGGGCAGTGGCTCTGGGAAGTGGCTCAGGGCAGTGTCTCTGGACAGTGGCTCTGGACAGTGACTCTGGGCAGTGGCTCAGAGCAGTGGCTCTGGACAGTGGCTCAGGGCAGTGACTCAGGGCAGTGGCTCAGGGCAGTGGCTCAGGACAGTGGCTCAGGGCAGTGGCTCTGGACAGTGGCTCTGGACAGTGGCTCTGGGCAGTGGCTCAGGGCAGTGGCTCTGGGCAGTGGCTCAGGGCAGTGGCTCTGGACAGTGGCTCTGGACAGTGGCTCTGGACAGTGACTCTGGGCAGTGGCTCAGGGCAGTGGCTCTGGGCAGTGGCTCAGGGCGGTGGCTCTGGACAGTGGCTCTGGACAGTGGCTCTGGACAGTGACTCTGGGCAGTGGCTCAGGGAAGTGGCTCTGGACAGTGGCTCAGGGCAGTGACTCAGGGCAGTGACTCAGGGCAGTGGCTCAGGACAGTGGCTCTGGGCAGTGGCTCAGGCCAGTGACTCAGGGCAGTGGCTCTGGACAGTGGCTCTGGACAGTGGCTCTGGGCAGTGGCTCAGGGCAGTGGCTCTGGGCAGTGGCTCAGGGCAGTGACTCTGGACAGTGGCTCAGGGCAGTGACTCAGGGCAGTGACTCTGGACAGTGGCTCTGGACAGTGGCTCTGGACAGTGGCTCAGGGCAGTGGCTCAGGGCAGTGGCTCACGGCAGTGGCTCTGGACAGTGGCTCTGGACAGTGGCTCAGGGCAGTGGCTCAGGGCAGTGGCTCTGGACAGTGGCTCTGGACAGTGGCTCTGGGCAGTGGCTCAGGGCAGTGGCTCTGGGCAGTGGCTCAGGGCAGTGTCTCTGGACAGTGGCTCAGGGCAGTGGCTCAGGGCAGTGACTCTGGACAGTGACTCTGGACAGTGGCTCTGGACAGTGGCTCAGGGCAGTGGCTCTGGACAGTGGCTCAGGGCAGTGGCTCAGGGCAGTGGCTCAGGACAGTGGCTCTGGACAGTGGCTCTGAACAGTGGCTCTGGGCAGTGGCTCAGGGTAGTGTCTCTGGACAGTGGCTCAGGGCAGTGACTCAGGGCAGTGGCTCAGGGCAGTGACTCTGGGCAGTGACTCTGGGCAGTGGCTCAGGGCAGTGGCTCAGGGCAGTGGCTCTGGACAGTGGCTCTGGGCAGTGGCTCAGGGCAGTGGCTCAGGGCAGTGGCTCTGGGCAGTGGCTCTGGACAGTGGCTCAGGGCAGTGGCTCGGGGCAGCAGGTGCCAGGAGAGGTCCCACCGCATCACTGCTCAAATCCAGACATTCTCTGTGAAATCACGGACGCTGAGGCGGAGACATTAATATTCATTCATTCACTTTCGAAATATTTCTAGGCGTGACTTTCATAAATGCGCTAGTTTTCACCGCTGCATTTATCAACAGCCGCGGCTGTACAGGTGTGTTTACAGGTGTGTGTGTGTATACAGGTGTGTATACAGGTGTGTGTACAGGTGTGTATACAGGTGTGTATACAGGTGTGTATACAGGTGTGTAGCCTGCTTTACTTCATGTCTGATGAATGGTAGACCTGAAGCGTCACATTGTGTGGAGATCTGTTGGGTACAGAAGCTGCGCAGAGAGATCCGTCTCAACACGAGACTCCCAAAGTTTCTGACATGTTTCACACTGATTTTATTTTCTCTTTTTGTCGTAACATTTCTGGAGCGTGACCCACGGACCAAAGGCTGTGTTTATTATTATCATCGTGAATTGTTTAATGACTGCTGTTGTTTTAGACCAGAGTCCTGCACCGTGTGGCCTTGGTCCTCGTTCAGTGGTGCAGAGGAAGAGTCGTCCCCCTCTTCCTCTACTCTCTCCTTTCCCCAACGTCCTCTACTCTCTCCTTTCCCCAACGTCCTCTACTCTCTCCTTTCCCCAACGTCCTCTACTCTCTCCTTTCCCCAACGTCCTCTACTCTCTCCTTTCCCCAACGTCCTCTACTCTCTCCTTTCCCCAACGTCCTCTACTCTCTCCTTTCCCCAACGTCCTCTACTCTCTCCTTTCCCCAACGTCCTCTACTCTCTCCTTTCCCCCTCTTCCTCTACTCTCTCCTTTCCCCAACGTCCTCTACTCTCTCCTTTCCCCAACGTCCTCTACTCTCTCCTTTCCCCCTCTTCCTCTACTCTCTCCTTTCCCCCTCTTCCTCTACTCTCTCCTTTCCCCAACGTCCTCTACTCTCTCCTTTCCCCAACGTCCTCTACTCTCTCCTCTTCCTCCTCTCCCTCATCTCTGTCCTCTCTCTCCTCTTCCTCCTCTCCCTCCTCTCCCTCATCTCTGTCCTCTCTCTCCTCTCCCTCATCTCTGTCCTCTCTCTCCTCTTCCTCCTCTCCCTCATCTCTGTCCTCTCTCTCTCCTCTTCCTCCTCTCCCTCCTCTCCCTCATCTCTGTCCTCTCTCTCCTCTTCCTCCTCTCCCTCCTCTCCCTCATCTCTGTCCTCTCTCTCCTCTTCCTCCTCTCCCTCCTCTCCCTCATCTCTGTCCTCTCTCTCCTCTCCCTCCTCTCCCTCATCTCTGTCCTCTCTCTCCTCTTCCTCCTCTCCCTCATCTCTGTCCTCTCTCTCTCCTCTTCCTCCTCTCCCTCCTCTCCCTCATCTCTGTCCTCTCTCTCTCCTCTTCCTCCTCTCCCTCATCTCTGTCCTCTCTCTCTCCTCTTCCTCCTCTCCCTCCACTCTGTCCTCTCTCTCCTCTCTCTCCTCTTCCTCTTTCTCCACTCTCTCCTCTTCCTCTCCTCTCTCTCCTCTCCCTCATCTCTCTCCTATCTCTCTTCTCTCTCCTATCTCTCTTCTCTTCCTCCTCTACTCTATCTCTTTGCTCTCTCTCTCCTCTTTCTCTTCCTCCACTCTCTCCTCTTCCTCCTCTTCCTCTCCTCTCGCTCCTCTCCCTCACCTCTGTCCTCTCTCTTTCCTCTTCCTCCTCTCCCTCCACTTTCTCCACTCTCTCCTCTCCCTCATCTGTCTCCTCTCTCTCTCCTCTTCTTCCACTCTCTCCTCTCTCTCTCTTCTCCCTCCACTCTCTCCTCTCTCTCTCTTCTCCCTCCACTCACTCCTCTTCCTCCTCTTCCTCACCCTCCTGTATGAGAGAGAAGTGCAGTAGAAGAGCCCTGGAGCTGCTCGCACACGCACTGCGGAGTGGAGAGAGTGGAGAGAGAGTGGAGAAAGAGGAGAGAGAGTGGAGGAAGAGGAGAGAGAGTGGAGGAAGAGGAGAGAGAGTGGAGCAGAGTGGACTTGGGCAGTGGAGACTTTTGAAGTAGAGCTTTATGCAAATGATAGCTGTCCCAGGAGGGGCTGCAGCGCTTATTCTTCACAGAGCATTTTCTAATAAAGAAAAGTGAACTCTTGACTCTCCCTCTGAGAACCCTCCTCACCTTCATCATCTCCAGCTCTGGTCCGTGGACTTCTCTTCTGCCCCACAACAGCAGAGCAGAGCTGGGGATATGAAGCATCGTCACGTGTTTGAAGAAGAAACACAGATGTATCACATACATGTATTTATTACACACGGCTGGAATCAGCGGCTTCTAGTTTCGACCGAGAAAACCATATTTTTCGTATTCATCTTCATTCTTTATTAATGTGGACTACTTTAGCTGTTAGCTTCCATGTTTTTATCTTTGTGAAGCGCTGTGTGGCCTTGGTCTGTGAACGGCGCTGTGTAAATAAAGTGTTCTTCCTTCATGAATGGAGTTTCAGCTTTTACTGATCTGTACCGATGCTAACCGTTAACACGTCAATTCTCAAACTGACGTCAATATAAGTCTCATAAACGTTTGAGAGAGACCAGAGAGAGACAGAGGGACCAGAGAGAGACCAGAGAGAGACCAGAGAGAGACCAGAGAGAGACAGAGGGACCATAGAGAGAGGAGAGACCAGAGAGAGACAGAGGAGACCATAGAGAGAGAGAGAGACCAGAGAGAGACAGAGGGACCATAGAGAGAGACCAGAGAGAGACAGAGAGAGAGAGAGAGAGAGACCAGAGAGAGACCAGAGAGAGACCAGAGAGAGACCAGAGAGAGACCAGAGAGAGACCAGAGAGAGACCAGAGAGAGACCAGAGAGACCAGAGAGACCAGAGAGACCAGAGCAGGGACGTGCAGTCAGGGGAGGCAGGGGAGGCAGAGCCTCACCTGCCATTATTGGAAACTAATAATTATTTTAGTTTAAATATATAATTTATATCCACTGTCCTATGCTTTTAATGTATATTCGGCACGGTTCCCATCAGTTTTGATCATTTCTGAAGTCAAAATCGCCGAAATCCCGTTATTCCTATTCAAAGAGACGAGGTGAGGCAGCGCTCCTGCGTGCCTCACCCCAGACCGCTCCCTCACAGTGTGTGTGTGTGTGTCTGAGTGCACTCAGCTCGTGCAGTTGATATATCACCGTTTGTTTCAAATATCCTGCTTTAAAAACATTTTTTAAACTCCTCTTAGTGTTTAGTAGTGTATTGCACGTATGTGTGTACAATTTATATTTAGTTTAAGTCTTTTGATCGTAGATGAACACACAAGGAAAAAGCTTGGCGTGAGGCAGGCGGTATCTGTGCCTCACCGCTAGGGGTGATAGTGAGCATAAAGTTCATACCAGAGTTGCTAACAAACAATCAGCCCAAAATGCTATTTCTTTTGCTGGAAAATGGATGATTTGAATGAAGATTTTTTTTCTCAATTGGACTTTCAAACAAAGAAAGAATTAATATAGACTGGGAGACCACCACTGGACTTACGAGGTTAGTCCGGCTGCGGGGGAGGAGTTTGTTAATCTGTGTTTTATGTTGAACATTGACAGATACCGGCAAAGTAGTGCTTTTCCGAAAAACACTGATTCAAACACTGCTCAAGAGTTCTGCAACTTGTTTAAATTATTGTTTATGTTCCTCGCGTCTCTCTCTCCTCGCGTCTCCTCTCTCTGTCTCTCTGCTCCTCTCTGTCTCTCTCTCTCTCCTCTCTCTCCTCTCGCGTCTCTCTCTCCTCTCCGCGTCTCCGTCTCTCTGCTCCTCTCTGTCTCTCTCTGCTTTCCGCTCTCTCTCTCCTCGCGTCTCCGTCTCTCTGCTCCTCTCTCCTCGCGTCTCTCTCTCCTCGCGTCTCCGTCTCTCTCTGCTCCTCTCTGTCTCTCTCTGCTCCTCTCTCCTCGCGTCTCTCTGCTCCTCTCTGTCTCTCTCTGCTCCTCGCGTCTCCGTCTCTCTGCTCCTCTCTGTCTCTCTCTGCTCCTCTCTCCTCGCGTCTCTCTCTCCTCGCGTCTCCGTCTCTCTGCTCCTCTCTGTCTCTCTCTGCTCCTCTCTCCTCGCGTCTCTCTGCTCCTCGCGTCTCCGTCTCTCTGCTCCTCTCTGTCTCTCTCTGCTCCTCTCTCCTCGCGTCTCTCTGCTCCTCTCTGTCTCTCTCTCTCTGCTCCTCTCTCTGCTCCTCTCTCCTCGCGTCTCTCTCTCTCCTCTCTCTGCGTCCTCTCTGTCTCTCTCTGCTCCTCTCTGTCTCTCTCTCTGCTCTCTCTGCTCCTCCGTCTCCGTCTCTCTGCTCCTCTCTGTCTCTCTCTGCTCCTCGCGTCTCCGTCTCTCTGCTCCTCTCTGTCTCTCTCTGCTCCTCTCTCCTCGCGTCTCCGTCTCTCTGCTCCTCTCTCCTCGCGTCTCTCTCTCCTCGCGTCTCCGTCTCTCTCTGCTCCTCTCGCGTCTCCGTCTCTCTGCTCCTCTCTGTCTCTCTCTGCTCCTCTCTCCTCGCGTCTCCGTCTCTCTCTGCTCCTCGCGTCTCCGTCTCTCTGCTCCTCTCTGTCTCTCTCTGCTCCTCTCTCCTCGCGTCTCTCTCTCCTCGCGTCTCTCGCACCTGCGCTTCTTAAAGATGTTGTTTGATGCGGAGCAGAGTCAGCAGCTAGATTTGTTGTGAGATTATTAAAAGAAGCTGGTTCTCTTATCTTTACAGTATATAAAGTTTGTGGATGTCATTGCATTGGTGATTAAATGCTATTTTATTTGAATAATGATTGTAAATCTGACTTTTAAAGTCAGTGCCTCCCCAATCACAAACCTCACCGCACGTCCCTGGACCAGAGAGAGACCAGAGAGAGACCAGAGAGACCAGAGAGAGACCAGAGAGACCAAAGAGAGACCAGAGAGAGACCAGAGAGACCAGAGAGAGACCAGAGAGAGACCAGAGAGAGACCAGAGAGACCAGAGAGAGACCAGAGAGAGACCAGAGAGAGACCAGAGAGAGACCAGAGAGAGACCAGAGAGAGACCAGAGAGAGACCAGAGAGAGACCAAAGAGAGACCAGAGAGAGACCAGAGAGACCAGAGAGAGACCTGAGAGAGACCAAAGAGAGACCAGAGAGAGACCAGAGAGACCAGAGAGAGACCAGAGAGAGACCAGAGAGAGACCAGAGAGACCAGAGAGAGACCAGAGAGAGACCAGAGAGACCAGAGAGAGACCAGAGAGACCAGAGAGAGACCAGAGAGAGACCAGAGAGACCAGAGAGAGACCAGAGAGAGACCAGAGAGAGACCAGAGAGACCAGAGTGAGACCAGAGAGAGACCAGAGAGAGACCAGAGAGAGACCAAAGAGAGACCAGAGAGAGACCAGAGAGACCAGAGAGAGACCAGAGAGAGACCAGAGAGACCAGAGAGAGACCAGAGAGACCAGAGAGAGACCAGAGAGACCAGAGAGAGACCAGAGAGAGACCAGAGAGAGACCAGAGAGACCAGAGAGAGACCAGAGAGAGACCAGAGAGACCAGAGAGAGACCAGAGAGAGACCAGAGAGAGACCAGAGAGAGACCAGAGAGAGACCAGAGAGAGACCAGAGAGAGACCAAAGAGAGACCAGAGAGAGACCAGAGAGAGACCAGAGAGACCAGAGAGAGATCAGAGAGAGACCAGATAGAGACCAGAGAGAGACCAGAGAGACCGGAGAGAGACCAGAGAGAGACCAGAGAGAGACCAGAGAGAGACCAGAGAGAGACCAGAGAGACCAGAGAGAGACCAGAGAGACCAGAGAGAGACCAGAGAGAGACCAAAGAGAGACCAGAGAGAGACCAGAGAGAGACCAGAGAGACCAGAGAGAGACCAGAGAGAGACCAGAGAGAGACCAAAGAGAGACCAGAGAGAGACCAGAAAGAGACCAGAGAGACCAGAGAGAGACCAGAGAGAGACCAGAGAGACCAGAGAGAGACCAGAGAGAGACCAGAGAGACCAGAGAGAGACCAGAGAGAGACCAGAGAGACCAGAGAGAGACCAGAGAGAGACCAGAGAGACCAGAGAGAGACCAGATAGAGACCAGAGAGAGACCAGATAGAGACTAGAGAGAGACCAGAGAGAGACCAAAGAGAGACCAGAGAGAGACCAGATAGAGACTAGAGAGAGACCAGAGAGAGGCCAGAGAGAGACCAGAGAGAGACCAGAGAGACCAGAGAGAGACCAGAGAGAGACCAGATAGAGACTAGAGAGAGACCAGAGAGAGACCAAAGAGAGACCAGAGAGAGACCAGATAGAGACTAGAGAGAGACCAGAGAGAGGCCAGAGAGAGACCAAAGAGAGACCAGAGAGAGACCAGATAGAGACTAGAGAGAGACCAGAGAGAGACCAAAGAGAGACCAGAGAGAGACCAGAGAGAGACCAGAGAGAGACCAGAGAGAGACCAGAGAGAGACCAAAGAGAGACCAGAGAGAGACCAGAGAGAGAGTTTCAGCAGAAAGAGGAGACGCTGACGAGCTTTCCTAACAACCTGATTCGTGTTTTTGTCCTATTTCAGGTCCTTAGACGGAGAGAGGAAAGTAAAAGCAGTCAAAATGACAGGTCGGAGAGTTCTGGTATAGCTTCTAGTAGCTTCAGAATTCTTTGAGTCCTAATGTTAAAAGTACATTTTTCACACCTCCTCAAAACTATGGACCCGACATAACAAAGCATTTGGACTGTCTGCGTTCTGGCCCTGGGTTTGTCACTGACTTTGCAAACACAAAATACTGAACAAACAGATCGAGAGGAGTCGAAGCCGGCGGAAGAGAGAGGGAATGATGCAACGCCACCAAAACGACCGCAGATTCACCCCTTCGCTCTCTCCCTTTCGCTCTCTCCCCTGAGACATCATCGTGACAACTCATACATCAGCGACTTAGCTCC